AAATTCGTCGTCCGCCAACCAGTCACTTTGGCGGGACGAGTTAGATTTTTAAACTAAATTTTATTTGACGGACTTGTGTGTTTGGTTTTCTTTTTGATGGATTTAAGATGAGACGGATGACCCGTTTTATCACCCCTAAACTAAATTCTTTAACCAAAAATGCGAAAAATCTCCTGAGCTCAAAGTCCAATCAATTAGAGACATTAGCCCATCTAAATGAAATCTTTTATAAAAAAAACTAAATTCTTTAATAATTACAATTTGAAGAAAAAAATTATTCGTGGTTGTAAAATGACTCTTATAAAAGTGAATACTGAATATAAAGTAATTAAGTTAACTAGATCCCACAATCATTAATTGTTTAAGCGAATAAGCATGGCCGGTAAATTGTACTAAAAACAACCAGCAAAACACAAGACGAGGATTGTGAACCCCACCAAACTTACGTAAGTGTAGTGTGTGTAGGGAAAGGAATCAAAAATGACTTTGATTCTTTACAAGAAACTTAACAAGAAGACACAATGTGCAACTGAAAATTTGGCGGCAGTATAAAAAAAAACAAAAACAAGCATCTTTGTAATTGTAAACTTCGTCCTTGCTCAAACCAGAACTATATTATAGAAATGCTACATTATGTGTAAGATATTAATATAAAGGAACTACCTTAAAAGCACTACTGAACTAGCTAGGCCATGGTATCTGCTTATTTCGGAGTTGAATTAAGTAGTGTGATGAGTATACCATTTTCTGTGGCAGTTAACCCTTCCATTATTAGGAATAATAGGAAATCGTGTGGTAGAAGATATGCTGTTATAACATCAGAATTAACCATGGTTCCAAAACATAGTAGAACTGCGTTTTTTTCCTCAATTGTCACAACAACGAGTTTCTGTTGCTGATTTACATGTACAAGAAGTTGTTGAAAAGCAATCTCGGATAGCCGATTTTGATACTCCCTGTCGTAGTAACCTCAAGCCACAGTTTGAGCCTAGCTTTCTCAACAACGCGTATGAAATGTGCAGAAACATCTGTGCCGAATATGCCAAGACATTCTATCTAGGAACTTTACTTATGACCGAAGAAAGACAGAAGGCTATATGGGCTATATACGGTAAGAATTTGAAAAGGAAGATAGAAACAAAATTGCAAACAAACAAATGTATACATCATGATTTGAAACTTGTTTTTTATTGAAACTTTTGTTTGCAGTTTGGTGCAGGAGGACAGATGAATTGGTGGATGGTCCTAATGCTGACTATATGAGCTCTGCTGTTCTTGATAGATGGGAAGATAGATTGCATGACATTTTCAATGGACAACCCTATGATATGCTTGATGCTACTCTTACCGATACAATATCCAAGTTTCCCTTGGATATTAAGGTGACAACTAAATCTCGTTAACGATCAATTCTCATACTTTCATGATCAGATACTACAAGAAAAAGTTGAATTAGTGACAAAATATGTGTTAGATAAATTTTATTTTTTCTATCTCTAAGGCTTGTCGTTATTACAGCCTTTTAGGGACATGATAGAAGGTATGAGAATGGATACGAGGAAAACGCGGTACAAAAATTTCGAAGAATTATATCTTTACTGCTACTATGTGGCGGGAACTGTTGGGTTGATGAGTGTTCCGGTAATGGGAATCGCGCCGGAGTCTCTCATTCCTACTCAAAGTGTATATAAATCAGCATTATATCTTGGTATTGGAAATCAACTCACAAACATTCTTAGAGATGTAGGGGAGGAGTAAGTTTATAATTTTAATTGATGTTCACTTAATTTTTAAATAAGTTGAATATTCAATGTATCTGGTGTATATATAATTCATATATATTAAATTTTTCTTATAATAAGGATCAGAGGGAGTATTATATATGATCTTTACTAAAGAATTATCAACTTTTTGTTTGAGTATAGTGCATTAAGAGGTAGAGTGTATCTTCCACAAGATGAACTCGGTGAGTTTGGTTTATGTGACAAAGATGTTTTCTCAAGAAAAGTGAGTGAAAGATGGAAAGAGTTTATGAAACAGCAGATTGCAAGGGCAAGATTCTACTTCAACTCTGCAGAAGAAGGAGCTTATCACCTTGATAAGGCCAGCCGTTGGCCGGTATGTATATCTTATACTATCAATCAATCATAATCGATTGATTATTAAGATCACCATATGCGTACCCTATTAGTACATTATATATGATATCATGCATACATGTGATAATAGTTTGGTTTATGTGTGATTTGCAGGTTTGGTCGTCTTTAATATTGTACCGCAAGATCTTAGATGCAATCGAAGACAACGATTATGACAATTTGACAAAACGAGCTTATGTAGGACGAACTGAGAAGTTTGTGTCATTGCCTGCAGCTTATACTAGATCTCTCTCAATTCCCAGGACCAAATTGCATTCTTCCTTCACAAAACTTATGTAGCAAAATTGTACCCGGATATTTGTTTATTGTGCAAAATGCATACAACAAAAGAAGAACAATAACAATTAGTTCAATATACACCTGTAAAATATTTGGCTTCAGTACCAAAAATGAAAATTCATGGAATTTAACAGTTTTATTATTATTCATCATCAAAGATGGATGACGGAATATATTTATTAATTGGTCAAGTACAGTTTATACTTACATAATAAAATTGTATGAATAGATTTGAGAGTTGTGATAGGGGTCATTTACTCGCTCTGCATGTTGATTTTTGCATCAATTTTTGAGGGCTAAAACTTGTGCCAATTAAATCCAACCTTGTAGTAGAACTGTTACTCCATTAGATTAGAGTAGTCTACAGAAATCTGACTTTGCTACAGAGTGCATTAGCAAGTATTATTTTAGAGAAGTCTTGTGTTATTTAGAGAACTGTATGATAATTTCTTAATGGAATAGAGTAATTTTGTGATTCCGTCTAAATCGGATGATACAAAAAATATGAAAAGTGAAGGAATGAGATGAAATGCATTTCATCGGATTCTTGCTCCATTTCATCCTCTATTTTTTATAATCCAAACAATAACTTTATATCATTCCATTCCGTTTCATCAATACAAACATATTTAAGTATTTGTTTTTCAAGGAATGCGAGTTCCTACCCCTTAAATGCATGCAATAACATGAAAAAATGAACATGGTAATAAACTTTCTCCAACTCATTACCATGACAAGGGCTAGGTCAATTCCAAAGCTAATAATTCCATCTATCATTAACTAACAATGATCCAACAAGTCACAAGTAATCAGAACATGCATAAAATTAAATAAATCACAGAAAAAAATTATCCAAATATGGTTGCATTTGAATGTCATACTAAAATTTGCATTTTTATATCTTAATATTAAGAACAAGAACAAGGTGATATCAAACTCTCAGCGTAGACTTTAGGGTCCATCTAATGATTGGTGTTTTGTATATTAGGAATCTTCAAAGCATCATTTTTGGAATCATAGACTTTAGGGTCTACACAACTTGGATTATATTTAAATATTTTAAATCTAATCAAATCTAATAAAATATAATATAATATTTTAACAAATCTAATTTAATATTTCAACACACCCCCATAATCTAAGTTGTCGAACATCCTCAAAAATAGTCAATCTGAACTATTCATAATTTCTTTCTCAAATTCAGAAATTTGTCAATCTTCAATTCTTTTTTTTGGGTGAAAATTTCAGCCAACTGTGCTTCACTCGAACAATGTCTTACTTCAAGTTCACCTCGATTTACCTTTTTTCTCAAGAAGTGAAACCTTGCTTCAATATGTTTACTTCTTCCACGCAGAACTGGATTCTTCGCCAAATTTATGGCTGACTTATTGTCAATTGGCAATACAAGAGGTTTCTTCACTTCGACCTTCATTTCTTCAAGTACAAATCTGATCCAAATTGCTTGACATACATCATATGATCCTGTTATATATTCAGCTTCAGAAGATGATAATGCCACCACAGGTTATTTCTTCGAACACCATGAGATTAGGGCATCAAATACTTGAAAGAAATATCCAATTGTGCTTCTCCGATCTTCCTTATCTCCACACCAATCAGCATCTGGAAAATAATTAACTATTGCTTCTTTGTCTTTAGAATCTCGTCGAAATAGTATTCCACATTTTATCGAACCCTTCAAATATCTCAGAATTCTTCTTGCAGCCTTCATATGTGACACTCTTGGTTCATTCACATATCTGCTTACTAATCTTATAGCGAAACCTATATCAGGTCGATTGTTGCACACATACCTTAGAGATCCCACAATTTGCTCGAACAAAGTTACAACGACTTTGTCTTCCTCTACATTCTTCTCCAATTTTACATTTGGTTCGACAGGTGAGGATGCAGGATTCAAGTCATCCATTATGAATCTCTTGAGTATTTCTTTGACATACTTCCTTTGATGTATCACCATACCTTACTTCGACATTTGAAATTCCATACCTAAGAAATAAGACAATTTTCCCAGATCAGACATTTCAAATTCCTTCATCATCAACTCTTTGAAATTCAACAAGTTCTCCAGGCTATTTCAAGTTACTAGCAAGTCATCGACATATAAGTAGATGATTGTTATATCTTATGCTACAACCTAAACATAGACACCATACTCAGATTTGCATTTGACAAATCCCAATTCGACTAAGTATGAGTCGATCTTCTTGTTCCATGCCCTAGGTGTCTGCTTGAGGCCATAGAGCATTTTGTGCAACTTATATACTTTACTCGCTTTCTTCTGAATCACAAACCCTGGAGGTTGTGTTGCATATACCTCTTCATCTAAAGGACCATTAAAAAATGCTTATTTCACATCTAAATAAAATGTCGACCAACCTTTGTTGCATGCCAATGCTACTACTAGTCAAACAATCTTCAATCTTACTACTGGAGTAAATACTTTAGAGTAGTCGAGTAATTCTCTTTGAATAAACCCTCGAGCTACTAATATTTCTTTATGTCTTACTATCAAGCCATCAACATTATGTTTCAACTTTAATACCCACTTTACTTTGATAGCTTTTATATGTGCTGGCAATTTGACTAACTCTCATGTGTTGTTTCTTTGATTGTACCCCAAAATTTTCCCTCTCATTTCTCAAGGAATCACCCTGGATCCTCAAGTTTGCTTTCATCCAATTCTAAGCCTTGAATTATCAATTTTTCCAAGCAAACCATTCACAAGGGAAAAATGGTCATTTGCACACTGAGAAGTCTAACTTTGACTTTTAGATCAAAATTAAATCTCAAAAATCATATTTCATCAAGACATGTTGAAATATGAAGTTTGTTTCATCAAGAAATTCAAAAGTCAAAACTACTTTGAAGAAGTCAAAATTCTAAATACTTAGAATTTTTTCTAAGTATTTAAGAAAATATGACAAGCTCAGAACTTCTGACCATATTATCACCATAACACTCAGCAAATTCTGGACACTCTCAAGGCAGAGTTTGGTCAGAACTTCTGAGCAAGTTTTTACAAAAGCCTAGTCAGAGTTTGCCAGGATAATTCAAAGAAGGTTAAGAAGCGTGCTGCAAGCTTTCTAGAAAGTCTGAAAGTTCCTTCAGAACATGCTGGAGCTAGAAGATAAGAGGATCAGAAAATTGGATGCTACGCAAGCTTAGAACTTCTGATCCAGAACTAAGCCTTGGTGCAGAGTTTCACGTTGCAGGATTTCTGGTTGTGATAAGTCTCATCATTATTTAATGCTCACAACCACTTTCTGAGTCTTTATCCAAAGGATTTTCACCACGTGTACCTCTATTGTCTTGGGATAACAACTTTGCTACTAAGCCCATGCTTTATTTTGCTTTTCCTTAAATCCTGCTGATAACTCCAGCTTAAGCATGGTTAAAAACTGCTAACCAACAACTATTTCAGCCTACGCCCGCATCCCATAATTGCACCAAACTAGCATACGAAAACAGTGATGAAAAAGCAAAGGAATAATATGCCAAAAGTGTTTAAAACTCATCCCCCCCCCCCCAAAAAAAAAAACACAGAAAATTCATCTATAAATACTTTGCTCCATCACACGTTCAAGAGGCTGGCTTTTGGAGAGAGAGATTGGCCAAAAGAGAGAAAAGGAAGTTGTGAAACCTTCATAAAAATCCAGATTTCTCATACACAAAAACAAACCTTTATTCTTCCTTTTGAATCAAAGAACTTGGCGTTTCCTCTTCCGTTACTCTTGCTGATTCCAGAACATCCAAAGGCAGTCACTCAAAGCTCCAAGCCCACGCTCCAGATTCAAGGTAAGTCCTTCTGACCTTTGCATTTTTTATTCAGAACATCATTAAACATGTAAATACCATAGCATTAATGTTGTTTATATTATTGCATGAATAGAAAAACTGTGGATCATAACTTCTTGATTAAGGCTAGGCTCAGGATTAGGATCAGAACCTCTATAAGCTGTTGTGCTTTTATTCTTCTGACTTGCTGTTTGTTAAAAAATGAATGAGTTATTGTTGTGCTGATTAATATGAGGAAAAAAGTCAAAATGTAATATAGAACTTCTAATTTTCACATGCTAATAACACACAGAACTTCTATAAATTTTTCTCACTGTTAACACACACAAAACTTCTGATTCTTATATGCTGATAACGCACTGAACTGCTAATGTTCACTCACTGGCTCAGTACAACACAAAACTTCTGATGATTCACTCACTGTTCTAACACAGCACAGAGCTTCTGAGTTCTCCTCACATGTCAAATACACCAAACTTCTGATGTTTCCATCATCTATTTTCAAACGCTCAGAGTTTCTGATTTTCACATGCTGAAAATACAGAACTTCTGACTTTTGGTTCACTGGCTGAACACCACCCAGAATCTCTGTGTTTTTCCTCTAACGTTTTTTGCAGGACTTCATAATGTACCAATCTAGAACCTATGTTCCCTTTCCCTCTGAAGTTTCTTGCAGGGCCTTAGAGCGTATCAATCCAGAACTTCTGATTCCACAGACGTTCCTTTCTGAGTCATCACGCGCCTGGCTTCAGAACTTATGATCCTTGTTTATTTTGCTTGCAGTAGCACGCTGTTGCTGTCTTTCATTTATTTCCCTTTTCATCATTTTTTTTATATTAACATAAAAAAAACATAAAAATATTTTCCTTTTAATTTATTTCCTTAAGGCAAAAAACATTTTCTAAACAAATCCTTTTTTTTCCTTTCTTGTATTGTACATTTCAATATGGTTGTAAAAGTAACTTAGGATTTAATTTTACTTGCAACCCCCATCCCCTAAATATTGTAATAGCGTATGACTTTACATTTATGCAATTTATCGCTTTCAAATGTAAATGCTAGTAATTAGGGTGTGTATGGCAAGATAAAATCAACAAGTAGATAACCCTAATAAAAGATCAAATGCATGCAAATCAAACACACTATTCACACATGCACCCTTAAGGTTAACTCCACTTGTT